AAAGGTTTAATAAGTGTGTCGAATACATTGTCGTAAGTAGGCTTCTGTCAATGGTATTGTTTAGTAATCAGGAATAATATTATTTTTCCACCTTCTATTTTGATATTTGCTATTTCATTGATCTGTTTATTTTGATTTTTGAGTTCTTCAATTTTACCAAATTTCTTCTTAAATTTGAGTGCAAGTCCTAGATTCATTTTAACGTTCTGAGATACATAATGATTTATCGCATATTTATTTGACATTTCAAATAAATTTCCCGGTATTTCTTTTAGGTCTTTATTTGTTATTATATGTTTGGATTTCTTTTCGATTATTTTTGATATTTATTAGACATATCAGGCTCTTCCAAGATTGTGATGTCTATTCTACTCAGCGCGTTTGTATTAATGTTCTGCGTCCTTGGTTTGAGGCACCAGTCTCTTCGAAGGCGCAAGTTCGAATCCCATCGCTGCTACCAGTTGTTATATCCTTGACGCGGTTCATACCGGATTCACCATCAATCCTGGTTTATTCTGAATTGAAAGCTGATACTAATTTATTTGAGTTCATCCTTAGGCAGTACGCAAATACTAAACCAAAATGTTTTAACTAATTACTTATTTATTTATTACAAATTGGACATACGTTTTGAGAAATTAAAAGGTTTACACTATACTGAACTGAATCACTGTTTTACTACACATTCTTGCACCAGCGATGTGTTCATATTCATAATCATAAAAAATACAAAGATTTTTCACTTACATGACTAAAAACATGTAATAAAGTATATTATATTCTTAATACTAAGCCATGGGTTCCCAACACTTATTTATTTATATGTTAAGATGTATTATACTCATATTTGACCAGTAATGTACTGTTGTGAAATATGGACACTATTTAAATACAAATAAAATAAACTTTTTATTTACAAGAGAAAGATTTTAAGAAGAGTTCTTGGGCTATATCTGGATGCAAGAACTAGAGAATGGAGAATTCAAAAATATTAAAAACTTAAATAGCTATACCAAATGCCAAACATAATAGGGAAATTAGAAAGACATTTCCAGTGGACTAGGAAAAAGGAGTGTTGATATAAATAATCTAAGATAGTGTGCCAAAGAGAAAGAGATCATTAGGAAAATATGAGAAGATCAAGTAAGGAGTGATGTGGAAAACTGTAAACCAGGGAGAATTGACAGGAATCTTTTAATGAATAGATAAAAATAAAATTAATATGTTGGTCAGTAAGATCTTAATAGTTATATATATATATATGAAGAAGAAGCATTAGATATATTCGAAAAATTAATGAAGTGATTAGTACATTGAATTAGCATTTTGTATTTTTAATACATTGACTTAAATAGTTATAATTCAGTGTTTAATGAATCAAAATGTGCATTTACTGATATTTATAGTTTATAAAACAATAAGATATTTTGTATAAATAAAAGAAACAATAGAATTTGATTAAATATTTTATTCACTATTAGGAATAAACTGTAATTTTTTAAATTAATTACACTTAACAAGAAAGTATGATTTTTATAAAAATATTTTAATGACATTCAAAATTGGAGTTACTAAAGTTTAGTACCTAAAATCAAAATTAAGAACATTTTTAAGGCTAACAATTTTATTCCTTACAGTTTTCATAAAAAAAATATGATAATACCTATAAAAAATAATAATATAAAAATACAAAAGAAATTAGTTAGAAAATAATAACAATTTTTTTTTACCCCTTATTGTATTTACTTATTTTGGATCTCATAATATTAGACCTAAGCTGTAACAAATTACCATGATTCTTACTAGACATTATTGCATCAGATTTCTTTGTTCATTTTATTTTATTAAGGGCTGATACTGAGTACATGTGTGGCCACTGTTGTAGATGAGTAGTGGGGAAAGTGAGATAAATTAAGTTATTTAATTTGTACTTATAACTAATGATAATTGAATACTTTTGAGCAAAATATCTTGATGAAATGTCTAGTGTTTACAGAATCAAAGGAAAAAAAATAAACATCATTATAAATCCCATAAATTCCTTGCTATATTCAGAATCCAAGAAATCAAAACAATTTTGCAAAATTTGATTTTAACTCTTATGAAAAAAAAAAAACTAGATTAAACTAAAATTTGTTTTTTACCACTAAGTTGGACTTATCAACTTCTTATCAAATTTTCAAGCATTTTTGTTAAATTTATCAATTTGTCTAAAGAGTACTGACCAAATAAAAATTTAAATATCTATAATTAGCTTTAGAATGTCTAGAAAAAGTAATTAATTTAAGTTAGCTTTCAAAATTTTGAGACCACCAATATTTTGAATTGAATTACATTTAAAAAAAACAATTTTAAATAACGATATTACTATTTTTGTAAATTTTCCTGTTCTTATTAAGTATTTTACAATTTTGCCCAATTATTAAAAAAAATTTCACAGAAAATCAAAAAACAACTGTATTGGTCACCAACTAGATTAAAAATTCAACAAAAAAAATCACTTAATGTTTTTCTATTGGAGCAATATTTCTGGTAGAAATTATAAGCTATAAAATAATGAAATTATTGTGCAGTAATTAGAAAACAAATTCTATATTCAGTCGTTTTAAGTTTGCCCCAATTATTTTAAAAACTACTTTAGATATCAAAAAACAACTTTCTCTGTTAGTGGCAGTGTTAAAAGGAACACAACCTTACCCCAAGTATCTTACCAAAATTCTTACTTAGCTATACAGAACAAAATAGGTATTACAGTTTTAATACACTTGGTTTTTATTATATAGGCTCTCTACACTAAGTTCCTAGGTGGTCTTAATATAATGTAAATAATACTCCTCATAAAAGAAAAAAATATTATTTTAAATTAAACATAGACAACAATAAATCCAAGTTACTCTAATTTTTAATTTGTAAAATTCTAATAAAAATTTAAATTCTTATATAAATAATGGCGATGCTATAGAATACAATTGTACACAAATATCAAAAATATTTAAAATAAAATAGGTATACAACATATTATGGAAATAAACTTAATTATTCCGAATCTAAAATTAATGAAATTAATTTATGTATAAGAAATAATACAGGTAGGATCAAAAATAAAAAAATAATATCGCATACAGTACAATTTCTATTTTTTAGTTATAAGCAGGGCTCAGGATTTTATGCATTTATTAAAGAAGAAAAGTACTTAAATACGCCAAAGAGCCATGAAAATTGTTTATTTAAAATTAACAGAGGATTCAGAGGAATTTAAAATTCTCACCCACCCCCATAACAGCTCTAACCATCAAATACAATTTTTTAATACTACAAAATGATTAATGCAATTTTTTTTTATATTACTTAAAATTATATTTAAAAACTTTGATAATCATTTTTATAATATTGGAAAAATGTATTTTATAAGTTATAGCTGTTAGAGGGGAGGGGGGGATTTATGTATGTAAAATCAATTTTTTTTACATCCACTCATTAGGATCAGATTCAAATTTGTCACATCTAGTGTTCTATATTCTATCACAAATACATACAAATTCTATATAAGTTTAATCATCAATATTCGTAAGTAGGCCAGCGAAGGAAATAAGCTGAATATTAGTAAAATGTAAATTGAGTGGGAGAGTCTTTAGTTAGAGTACGCTGATTAAATAGAAGCTCCCATATTATTTATGTCTATATTGAATTAAAGGATTTTACAGTATATAGTATGTATTCTTGTTTTACTAGTAGTCTCAATACATTACTTTTATTCAGAGTTTGGATAGAGTGATGCCCTTGGTAAAGGGGTATACAACACAACTGTTATGTATTACACTACCTAATAAAACTATGGAAAATCCAGGCTCAAATAATAACTGTATACATGATTAACATCTAACTATATAAAGTACATTGGTTTATATAATAATATTATAACACACAATATTGTTATGAATAACTAATCCAGATTTTATGTTATTTCATTTAAATAACCATCATTGGACAGTTAGAATTTCAATTTTAAGACATCCCATTTTAATTAAACATTTACTTCTTTATGGTAAGTATAGAACAAACATAGGTCTTATATAGTGGTTTTATCAAAAATTAAATTAATAATATTAACTTTTTTAGATATTGGATATAATTTTTAAGGGTATTTAATAAAAATATTTATTATAAATATAAATATACCAATATTTTTTTAATTTTACAAAATTTTTTTATTTTTAAATAAGATGAATTAATTTAGGCACACAATATTTTTAAAATAGCAGTACAAAATACAGAATTAAACTACTTAAGTTTACATGAAAAAATTGTATTATTATTTAAATTACAACAATTAATGTATCTTCATAGATATTGGCAGTTACAGACATACATTATGTTGCTATATATAAATTACCTGGAAATGCATGAAATTGAGTACAATAAATTAATACTATTGTGATTTTTTATGTCTATAATAAAATGGGTTGAAATCAATTGTACTGTGATTATGGTGGATCAATTAGTACAATATAACTAAAAACTAAAAATACAATAAAAATACAATAATTTTAAAAAAAATGTTTGAGGGTTACAAAAATACAGTATATAAGTTAAAATACTTAAAAAGTTTAAATCGTTGAATAATTAAACACACACATAATATAAATTACACACAAATATACTCATTATAAATCACACTCGCACATATTTATTAAAAAGTATAGTTTATAACTTACACAATTAGGATGATTCTAAAATAAGTTTTGACTAAATTTTAAGGAACTCAACAGTATGGACATACGTGGTGCCACTTAATCACTAATAAAATATATTAATCTAATAGGTGTAAACAATAAATTAACTGTTTTAATAAAATAGGTACATAATTAATTCAAAACTTGGAACTAATTCGATTTTCATTGATAGGCATCTATATAATACACATGCATGTGAAAACACAATAATTACAATAATGACTTGATAGTCAATAAAAAAATGATCAATTGACTGAATGATATAGATTATTTATCAATATGCAATCCTGCATGAATGGATAACAGTGATTTTCTATTAAATGATTTTTTACAAATAGAACACTTGTATGGCATTTTTCCTTTATGTATTCTTATTGTATGTCTTACACAGTGTGATCTATCAGAAAATGACATTTCACAAATCGAACATTTAAATGGCTTTTCATTTGTATGTGATCTAATGTGTGTAATTAAATTTCCTTTTTCAGTATAAGACTTTCCACAAACAGAACAGTTGTATGGCTTTTCACCTAAATGAGTTCTTGAATGTGTATTTAAATTTGAAGTATCAGAAAATGACTTATTACACACTAAACATTTAAATGGTTTTTCGCCAGAATGAGTTCTCCAATGTCTGATCAAATTTGAATTCTCAGCAAAAGTCTTCAGACAAATGGAACATTTATATGGCTTTTCAGTTTGGTGAATTTTGGAATGTCGGTTTAATTGAGATATCAAATTAAATGATTTTATGCACTTATCACATTGAAATTCTTTTTGTACATGATAAACTACCTTTTTAGTTTTGACTTTAGATGCATTTTCATTTGAATTTTTCGGAATTTTAGTTTTGTTGACTTTTTTAGTTTTGGGTACCTCTTTTGATAAATTATTGGTCTTTTGATATTTTTCATCTATGTCTTCAGATGGCTGAGAGTTTCTGGAACACCAAATAACAATAACCAAGTTAATATTAAAGTAATAAAATTAATATCTTTATCACAAGATAAACATAAAACCAAGGCCCATGGTTAGGTTAACATAATCAAACTTTATTTTATTTTGTTTATTTATAAACCATTTTTTGGATACCACAACTGGATTTGATATTATTCATGTGAGGGAGAAATTAATGAAACAAATTTAAGAATTGCTAGGTTAAGTTATATTATTAAATGTTTATTAATAACTAATGGTAATATTAAATGATATTAGGATAATTGTAGTTTAGCCACTATTTTTTTGAACCATAAGTAAATTAACATTTTAAAAATGATAGCGCAAGCACAATTGAGGCTGATCAATAATTTTAAAGTTATAGAATGAAATTTATAGATTTTATGGTTATGGTTAAATGGTATACATTCATTATTGCAACAAAATTATGTTGTGGTGCAATGTCCCGTGTGGAAAGCTTGCAGTACTGGATTCGAATCTGAAATGATTATGACATGGTTTTTTTTTCAAAAATAACCCCCGATTTGTTTTGAAAAACCACATTTAAAACATAAATTTTACTATGATAAAAAAAAAATCAAAAAAACTTGGTTGGTAATTAAACTGCAATGATGCAGTTAATATAAATTATAAATTATATAACTAACATCAAATTACGCAGCGCCGCTGCAAACTGGTAATGTATAATAATATAATAATCTTATCGTATAAAGTCCACTAACGCCACCGCCTCGCTGGCAAAGGCCTTAAGGTCATCCACTATCGCAGTCACTGCATACTGCTACAGAAATACTCGCATTCGATATGGCTTGGAGCCTAAATCAATTATCTAACAAAACAATTCCAAATTTAAAATTATCAAAAAAAAAGAAAAGAAAATGATACTTCAAACAATACTTCGCCAACTAATTCTAATACTGATATCTGGGAAACAGTCGTATCAAACAATAAACATTCAAGATCTCCTAATGCAATTTCACCTCCCACTAAGAAAATCGACAAAAATATCTTTATTTCTATGAACTGTTTTACTCTGATCGCACCAAATGACGAAGAGGAGCGGATGGACGATACAAATGAAAATATTCCGAATAAAAATCAAACACCTAAACCACCCCCAATCTTTATACAAGTACAGATAAATTTTAACAATTTCTGTATTAAAATTAAAGAATTAACTGATTCCTCGGGATTTGATTGTAAAAGTTCTACTAATAAACTTAAACTTCAAACATACAGCGCTGATTCGTATAGATCAGTGATCAATTATCACAAAGAAAATAATGTTTCATTTCATTCATATCAGTCAAAAGAACTAAAAACATTTCGTGCAGTAATCCGGAATCTACATCCCACTACTGATTTGTCACTTATCAAAAAGGAACTCTTAAACAGTGGATTTACCACCAGAAACATAATGCCTGTTTTTCATAAATTAACGAAGACTCCTCTTCCAATATTCTTTATTGACCTGGAACCTGGTCCAACCAATGCCGATATCTTCAAAATCACATCGCTGTGCTACATGATAGTAAAAATCGAACCTGCCCACCCTAAAAGAGATATCCCTCAATGCCACCGCTGTCAGACTCGTGGCCACACTCGCAGCTACTGCAATCACACTCCTCGTTGCGTTAGATGTGGCTTAGACCATGAATCATTGCATTGTACTAACGATCACAGTTCCCCTGCTAAATGTGCTTTATGTAATGGCAGCCACCCGGCCAACTATAAAGGGTGTAAAACATATACTGACCTAATAAAAAAATTAGCTCAATCTAAAAACAATATGTGGAATAATAAAAACAAACACCATCATACCTCAAATGTCATTAACCATAATCTCCCCCCTCCAACAGACTCACAGAATTTCCCTCCTCTCAATAGTGAATCAAATCCACACTCTCAAACCAATAACCAAAATCAGAATCTAGATCTCACAATCCAACTGTCTTCATTCATAAATGATTTAAAAACATTAATAAACCCACTCCTATCACTGCTCACTACTGTCATTGATAAATTCATTAAAAATGGCAACTAATTCAACAAAACCACTTACCATATTTTTATGGAACGCCAATAATGTATTCTTCAACACCTAAATGAACTCCAAATCGCGCTCAATGAAAAAAAATTGAAATAGCACTTATTTCTGAAACTCACCTCATGAAATCTTCTACATTCAAAATTCATGGATATGAAATTATAAGAGCAGATCACCCTGATGGAACATGGCGGAGCTGCTCTAATAATCTCTAATCAAATTGAACACTCCCCTCTGCCAACTCTCAGGAGCTCTAATATTCAATCAGCTAGCACAACGTTAAAGATAAACTCAGTTTCTATCTCCATAGCATCTTGTTATTTCCCTCCAGGAAATTCATTTCCTACACCTGAACTTATAATTTTTCTCCAATCTCTAAGCCATAGCAGTATTTCCTACACCTGAACTTATAATTTTTCTCCAATCTCTAAGCCATAGCAGTATTTCCTACACCTGAACTTATAATTTTTCTCCAATCTCTAAGCCATAGCTATATTTTGGATGCGGACTTCAATGCCAAACACCAAACTTGGAGCCGTTCCACTAACACTAGGGGCCGAGCGTTACACAACCTCATAACTCAAAAACACCTCAAAGTCTTATCAAGCCCTTCTCCGACTTATTGGCCATCCCATGACAACCATCATCCAGATACTACTTCATTACCAACTTACCCAATTGTTTCACCGCAAACGTCACAAATCTTAATGACCCAGCATCAGACCATACTCCAGTTCTACTACATATAGGAGCACAACCTCTAATGAAACCAAATCGACCAACCATCACTCCTGGATTTACAAACTGGAATAAATTCAGAGACATACTTTCAAAAAAAACAATACTTAATATTAAGTTAAAATCCCCTTCTAACATTGATAGTGCAATATATAAGCTTACCAACAATATACAAGTTGNAACTTATCTACAAAATCTATCACTTAAAAATGGCTCACTTTGGGGCAAAACAAAATCAATTCTTCGATTAAAGGAAATTACACCACTTCTTCAACGACCAAATAACACCTTAGCAGTTACCGACAGTGAAAAAGCAGATACACTAGCGAATGAACTATCAACAGTATTCATACCACACTCAATCTCACCACCACCTCTACAACTTGAAATGGTCACAGTCACTCCTCTCTCCACTACCTATGGCCCTACCTGCTAAACCTGCCTCACCAGCTGAAATAAGGGGGATAATAAAAAAATTGGCCAACAGGAAATCTCCTGGCCACGATCTTATAACCAACAAAGTAATCAAAAACCTACTAATAATACAATAATTCTAAAACAATAATTCATTTAACTCATATATACAATGCTACCCTCAGACTTTCCTATTTTCCAAAAACTTGGAAATCCTCAGTTATCATAACAATACTTAAACCTGGCAAACTACCAGAAAACCCATCCTCATACAGACCCATAAGTCTTCTACCAGTTCTTGGAAAAGTTCTGGAAAAATTTTTACTAAAGCGTCTCTCTGTCATAACCAATGAAAACAAAAACTTGCCTAACTTCCAATTTGGTTTTCGTGCAAACCATTCTACAACCCATCAGCTACACCGAATAGACACAATCTCAACTGCTTTGGAAACAAAAAAATACTGCACTGGAGTATTCTTGGATGTTGCCAAAGCTTTCGACACCGACTGGCACGAGGGATTACTCTTCAAATTAAAAACTTTATTTTCTGCCCCTTACTATCTCTTCTTAAAATCGTACTTGGACAACCACACATTCAAGGTTTGCCACAACCTTCAACATTCAAAACAATTTCCCATTGCTGCTAGGGTCCCGCAAGGCAGTGACATAGCACCTTTTCTATACATAATTTTCACATCTGATCTACCCACCTCAGAAAAAATAACCATTGGTACTTGCGATACTGCGTTTTATCTACAGCTGCTGATCATATCACTGCAAGCCTTCAACTAAAATTACACATTGATACTCTTTCTCAATGATTCACTAAATGGAAAATTAAAATCAACAAATCGAAGTCTTCCTTCATCACATTTGCACTCAGGCTCCATAACTGCCCTCCTATATCAATAAATAACACCATCATTCCTCACTTAAATGAAGTGAAATACCTTGTCTTAATATTCGACAGACGCCTAACATGGTCATCTCATCTAAAAACAAATGCAAAAAGCTAAACTAAAGACTTCACCTACTAAGGCCACTCCTATGCTCAAATCTAGCATTACCCCTTAAACTCATATTATATAAAACTNTGCACTCAGGCCCCATAACTGCCCTCCTATATCAATAAATAACATCATTATTCCTCACTCAAATGAAGTGAAATACCTCGGCTTAATATTCGACAGACGCCGAACATGGTCATCTCATCTAAAAACAAACGCAAAAAGCTAAACTCAAGACTTCACCTGCTAAGGCCACTCCTACGCTCAAATCTAGCATTACCCCTTAAACTCATATTATATAAAACTCTTCTACAACCACTCTGGATGTACGGGGTAGTAATCTGGGGTTCTGCTAAAAAATCAAATAAGAGAACTATCCAAGCCTTCCAGAATATCTGTTTTNAAAGCTAAACTAAAGACTTCACCTACTAAGGCCACTCCTACGCTCAAATCTAGCATTACCCCTTAAACTCATATTATATAAAACTCTTCTACAACCACTCTGGGTGTACAGGTTAGTAATCTGGGGTTCTGCTAAAAAATCAAATAAGAGAACTATCCAAGAATATCTGCTGTCGTATAATAACTGGAGCACCCTGGTATATCTCCAACAATGCAATAAACTCTGACCTAAGAATCTGCTCTGTCAACGAAACTGCCACTATGTATTGTAAACGCTTCCACACAAAATTACATTCCAACCCCAACCAGCTCATCAGGGACCTTGCTACACCAGCACTACCCGGAAATCCAACTAGATGACTCAAGCGGAACTGGTGCTGTGACTTAAAAATTGTATAAATTCTTAAATTAATTAAAAATGTTTTTGTAATAAATTGTAAATGTTATTGTAAAACCACTAGGTGTCTCTAATGAGAGATTTCCTTCCATGCTATCACTAGTTCATAGTTTTTCTTTCTTTTCACCATAATTATTACTTATTGTGCACCTCTGTATAGATTGTAATATTTCAAAATAAAATAAAAAAACTTAAAAAAAAAAAAAAAATTATATGAATAAATTTGAAAAATAATATATCATTATTTACTGTTTATTAAAATATAATATTAATTAATTATATATTAATAATGAAGTATATACCTAGAATGTGTTATTTTTTTTGAATTTGTTTTACTAAATTTATTTGGATCAGCAGTATTGGAAGCTTCACTATCTGGTTCTAAGGTATCGGGAGTTTCACTATTTGGTTTTACAGTATTGGAAGTTTCACCATATGGTTGATATATGGTGTCCTCTTCTTCTTTTTGGAGACTCCTATAACAGAAAATAATTAATCCTCGTTCAGAGGGATCCATTTATATAACTACACTCAATATCTTGAAAAGTATAGAATTAAAAAAATGTATTATCATTATTATTTTTGATTTTCAAATGGCAACTTAATTTTTAATAAATAAAAGTATATAGTTGGTTCAACTCAAAAATAATGTTGACGTAAAATTGTAGTACTGGTTATTCTTTAAATTATCATTAAGTATCTTTTTGGAAATATAAAATGTAGCCACTTAAGTGGATCACCCTATAGCAGAAAATATGGATTCGATCATGTCAATCATATTTTTAGTAAGTCACATTATATTCCTTAATAATACATTGTTTAGATAGTTTTACAATGATGTTTATTTATTTATAATTTTTTCCTATCAGACAACTTTTCTATCAACTATTTTGTTCCAATGTACAATGATACCACTTTTTTTGAAAGGAAATCTGACAGGGGTGGTACCTTAGGGAGGTCATTTTTTGATTTTCTCAAGTTTTCCCAATGAATTAGAAAAACAAGAAAATGTACAAAATGTAGGTCTTAGTTAAAAAATGTTTTAATATAAGGTCCTATTTTCTTGTGAACAAATTTTCTAACAAAAAATTGGATCTATACTTGCAAATGAGTTACATGACTAAACAAAATTTATGAATCATTCAGGAATGAAAAATAAACCAAAAAAGGGCCATTGATATTATTGTGGGTCATCAAAATTTACATTTTTTTAAAAATAGATTGTGCCATAAAAAGTTTGGAAACATATGCCCTATAGCATTATAATGCAATTAAATATTTTTATTTCAATAACAATTATAGTAATAATCTCTTAATACATACTCTAAAACAAATAATGGAAAATCAGTAAATATGTTAATTTGTCCAGTTTGCAAGCTAAAATCATCCAATTCTTCAGATTCTTGTCTGAAATCCTGCAGAAGCTCCATTTTATATCCTTAAAAAATAAAATAATACATACATAATAATATAATAATTACATTTTATTAAAATTACAATGATAATGTATATAGAAATAAAATATATTACTGTACTAGTTATTCCTATTGTTTATTACACACTTTTGTTTAATTTCACTTGGTGGATATTGTTCTGGTAATTTGTTTGTTAGAGTTAAATTATAAATATTTTATGTTTATTTTATTAAAGTTAAAAACGCACAAAATATTAGTTTGGATAGAGATGCATAAAATGGCAGACAATGCAACAAAAATTGAAGAGCTCCTGAAAAAAAAAAAAAATCAATAAATCTAACCTAACCAGTATCAACAAAAGAAAATTACAACATAACCTCAATATGTTTTGTTTTCCCAACTTTATGTTGATTACCTATAAATTATTGTCTTTGATTTAATAATAGGTAATGAAGGCTCAGATTTAAAATCTTTAATTCTTTAATAAAATCGTTCAATAAAAATTATTTAGGGAGTAGAAGATTTAAGGTATCTAATAATTTTAAGTTTATTGTTTAATTTATTATTATTTCTGGTAAGTTGTAGACACTGTATCCATCAGTTATTTAGGAGAGCCACATATCCCATTTATTGGTGCAGTGCTGTACAGTAGCCGTTTCATGCAAATCAAATTTATTTGATATCAACATCTACACAATGGCGTCATATATCAAAACCTACTGGGTGATATCAAAATAAAAAAAAAACTTGAAAACTAAGAATCAAAAAAATTGCTTTTAATAATGAAACAAACATACATTTTATTTGTGAACAAAAACAATATTTTAAAACTGTAAATTATGTTTTTGTAAACTAAATTGTTCAACTACTTTTTCAACAAACTTACTAAACTTTTTGTTTATTAACACTAAGTATACACAATCAATCCCAAGGTTTATAGATAATACAGATCGCCTCATTTCAAAAAAGTAGGAGTGGGGATAATGATTCAGTAATGTCATTACTGAAGTGCAGATTATATGTATTTTTCTCATTGTTTGCATTGACTTATTTAGATTCTAAAAAGGAAATCTGACTGGGAAGGTAGGTACTTTAAAGAGGTAATTTTTAAATTTTCTCAACAAATAGGAAAAACAGGAAAATGTAAGAAATGTAGGTATTGGTTAAAAAATATCACAGTCTTCTTTTTTTCTGTGAACAACGTTTTTACCAGCAATTTTGCTCCTATTTACAATGACATTTTGTAATAATATTCTTTAGTACATAAAATACCTCATAAACAATTGCATATTTTGTATTATATATATATATTTTTATTATGTGTTATATTATTTGAATATGTTTGCTAAAAAAAAGAGGTTATTTACTTGATTGTTAATAACTAATTACTCTCAATGTTATTTAATATACCTATTTAAAATATTTTGTATTATGTAAATATTACTTGTGTATGTTTAGTAAAAAAGAGATTTTTCACTTGTTTGTTAATAACTATTTAGGTATTTAAAAAAAACTCATGTACTCTCAAAGTTTGAGGATTAATATCATTTTTAAAAAAGTACAATTTAAACTTTTATTAATAACAATAAAATGAACAATCAGAAAAAAGAAAAAAAAGGTAAGATACTGCAGTCACTGTTGTAGGTGAGAAGTTGGGAATGTAGAATACATAAAGTTATTTTATTTATATCTGTAACCAAAGGTAAACAATTGCCGATGAAAGACGAATTTGAGAGTTCAGTCAATAGTATTACTTAATATTGCATCGATCTTGCAATACCTATATAATATACCTGTATACCTGTAATACCTGTATAAATCTAATTATAGTATAGTAAAACATATTTTCGAGTTTCTTTGTTCTGTTTTATCAAATAAAGTACAATTAAAATAATAAATAAATCGTTTATAGTGAATTTAAACTATATGTACAGCTGCATTGCTGTAATATATGACATCGGAATCTGTATGACACGCAGCATATATAAACTGCGGAGGGTAGGCAATATTTACTCGACTTTGAGACAATCTGTATTATTTATAAACCTTGAGTTCATCCAACCTATAATTTCCCATAGAACTTCTTATCATTATCATTAGAAAAATGAATTTATTGTAACCAAAAATAATGATAATATAATTTTTCTAGGAGAGTTATAAGTTTGCAATATGGTCTTACTCTTAGATCATATTATACTAGTATATTTTAAATATTGGTATTTTTTTTTAATAAACTAACTAATTAGCTAGAAAGAGATTTGAATTACAAAATTAAGGAATCATTGTGATGAATAATTTTGTTATTTAAAAATGAAAATATATTGCTGACTATACTTGGATTGTTATCATTGTTATATGTATGTTAAGTCATATTCCAGTTAATTATTTTTATTTTTATATAATAATTAAAGGAAATATGTTATTTATTAGGTATGTATTAAACCTAGAATTACCTAAAATTCAGTACATTTAATATTTGTAATGTACCTATATTGAATGTTAATAACATAGGTAACTCATTTGAATTTTGTCATGGCATTAATAATTATTAACTTTTATTTTACATTGATTATGCTTGATTACCTTAATTATTTTAATTGGAATACAAGAATTGTCTTATTTTTTATACTAATATTTAACTGTAAATTAGTACATAATCACTACCAGAAATATTTTAAAAATATGATAATGAGAATAATTTAAATTTATAAAGATACAACTGTAAGTTGTACAATATTATTTTTATGTAAATATTTAACTACAGAAATAAAAAAGATAACCATTCTACTATGCCTACGAATAGTATTAACTATTAAAATACAATGGTTAATGATAATTTACTTTATAGTAACCTTCATAAATAATAATTACTGCTTAACAGATCTACTGTTTAATAATTTTGTATAAATAAGTATTCTGTAGATAAATAATGTAAAATACTTTGTATCCGATGACACCAAATACTGAAAACAAAGGCATATTAGATAATTAATTTTTTGAACTCAGAAATAAATATTCGGTTTAGCCAAATTTAGAAGCCAAGCACAGAACTACGTCAAACTAAAAATAATATTTTGAATATTAAAAAAAAAATCCAAAAGTATATAACAGAAATTTTAGTTAATTAGAAGACATAGGTATCTGTTACATAGATTAATTATTTTAGAAATATGCACTTCATAGAGCAGTGGTGACCTCTGTTTAATAAAGTATTATATTTTTATGGTAGATACATCTGAATATAAATACAGTGATAAATTTAATTATTTATTATATTTAATTGTTATAAATGAGAAAAAAAATAAACTATATTGAATTCACCCAAAGAACAGAATGGAGATGTTCATTTGTTATGTGTGAGGTGTGATTAAATTTTTACTTTTATCGATTTTCATAGCATTTTTTAATTTTTGAAATTAGAAGTGTTTTTTTTAGATTTTGAACTGAACAAAGAATGTACTGATTTTACAATGTTTATTTTTTTTTGTGGCCAACTTTTTTACCAGCAATATTTCTCTGATTTTCAGGTATAGCATTTTTTCCGATAGGAAATCTGACTTATGTGGTACTTTAGACAGGTTGTTTTTGATTTTTCAGTAGTTTTCCTAATAAATGGGAAAACGGAAAAATGTATGAAATGCATTTATTGAAATGTAATAATAGCTTTTTTTTTTAACTATTATAAACCTTTTAATTTTACAGAGAGGGGGAGGGGTGCGTAATTTTTGTTCAGTATAGGTACTCTGTGGATAAAATTGTTAGACCAAACAGAAATGCCGGTTTTACAGAAGGTTTATTTAAGTCGTACCTTGTGATTTTTTTTTTTAAGAATTCTAATATTAACTACAGCATAATTTGTAAATAATACAATGCAACACTATTGACTGAACTCCGCTCAAAATCGTTTTTCATAAGCAATAGTTAATTGTTGTATACAAATGTACATTAAATTTCTCCTTTACCAAACCAACTTCTTACCTACAACAGTGGCCTACCTATCGCTCGAAGTATTTCAGTCTTTTTTAATTTTGATATAATACTTTGGTGGTTAATAAATGATCATGGGTTGGATTTGGCTTGGGGTTCATAGTTGATCACCATTGTCCAAGATCACCAGAAAAAAAATTTCTATACAAAAATTGAACTTTTGGTAATTGGTTGGTACTTATTTGGAATGGATGAAGTTACTTTCAAATACTTATTGAAGTAAATATTATGAAAAACATTTTTTTTTGAGATGGTATTTTGGAATATTTGATTTTACAATAAAAATTATAATGGAAAAACAAAAGTTGTCCTTAAAAGTTTACTGAAAATTAATAATTATTTAAACAATAATAATGAATCAGTAGGCAAATTTAAAAATATTTTTTATTTTTATTTTTATTATTGAATTTAATAGCTTCAATGATAAAGATTATTAGTAGAGTTCAAATTAATATTCTATTTGAACGTCTGAGATATGTTGTTTATGTGCAGCACAATTTAATGAAATATCCTCACAAAAAATAATTAAAGGTTAACTAAAACAGTTATCTTTTTTTTTTATTAAATACATAATATTCATATCTGTGCTATTTTGTATGGTTCATTGAATTTTCAGTATTTGTTAATATATACCTATTATTAATATTTATCTCATTTTTTTTGTGGTTTTGTTACTAAGTAATTAACTAATGTATATGATAAGCATTAATTTTAATGAATTACTCAATTGTTGAGTTTTTAAATTTATATCTTGTAAACTATTCTTTATTTACTATAAATCAATAAATTAAATATTAAATTAAAACCTAGTCACTGCATCAGTATACTGATCAATGTTGCGATAATGTTATTTATTATTTTAATTCTTAATTTTGTGGGTTGTGGCCCTGTATCTGAATATAAATATAATGACAAACAATAATTTATCAAAAAAAATTACCAAGTAACATCAAAAATTAAAACCCAAAAATATTCTCTAATATTATGCAATATAGCAGAAATCAGTAAAATTGTTTTGATATGTATTGTATAAGCTTAAATATTTTTAAATATTCTTCAAGGTCAAAATATACATTAATAATACTTAACACCACCTAACTACAGGTTATGAACAGCAAACATTTCTAACTCCCAACAAACGCATGTATTAAATATAATATGTTTTTACATGAAAATCCGGATTCTAGCTATATGAAGATTGTACATATTATTTACATTTTTTTTCTAAAATATCTATACTAGCTTATATAAGTTTTATATAAAAATGTTGGATTTATAAACATCTAAGATAATTTCTTTTATATTTAAATTTTTAAATTAAAATAGTTACTTATATTAAAAATTGTATAAATAGATGTAGTATTAATTTAAATATATTTTAGTATTGAAATTTTTGATATTCCACTTTGTAGTTTCAGTGAATTGTGATTAGTGGTCTGTGCGACACTTTAATAGTGTTTCACTACTACCCCCATCAAATCCTGTAAACAGAAATAAAAAATGACAAAACTAATATTTATTGAAAATAACAATCCATCTATGGAATTTTGAATATAGGTTCCCTTGAATTTCAAAAGTTGATCCCCAAAACTGCTCCCAAAAAAGACAAATATTTTTAGATGTTTTTAAATTGAAAAACTTTTGTACTATACTTTTTTCTCTATTTTAAATATTTATATGATAAAATGGTTGTAACATAAATTTTGAATCATCCTGAATATAAACACATATATATATATGCAATTAGATCCCCAATAAAATTTTACCTACACTATATTATTATAAACATTATAAATTAATATTATTAATATGATAAATATTATAAAATCAAAAACAACTAAACAAGTGTTGTAGAATTTTTAATTGCAACAATGATTTGTACCAAACTCTACTACCTGTGTTTATTTTATCCACCAAAAATGAGAAGTACTGGTAAGATATTTTTTTTATTTTTTTTTTTTAGTTTCTTTTTTAATAAAATGCATTATTGGTTTTTAAATTAAATGCATAGAATTGTTTTCCTCTTACTAATTGCTTGTAGGTACTTAAATAGATTAAACTACTCTAGAGAAATCAAAAAAAAAAAAAAAAAAAAGTAACTGAATGAAGATCCGGGATCTATAATAATAACAATGTAATATTTGTAAATAATTATATTGTAATTACGGACAGTTAAACATACTTAGTACTTACCTACTGTTAAAAGATAGTCACTAAATGAACATTTCTGATATAATAATATTTTAACACAATAGGAATTAAACTGTAAACGTATAAATTAAATACTTTTTTTATTAATTACACTGTTAAACAAATTAATAGTACACAGTACACAATAAAAATATAGTTTACAGCATTTACGTCACGGATAAGTTATAAGTTTACAGTTAGTACCACTCGTGTAATCAAAACCAACCTTAGCCGTAGTGGCGGTAACCATTTTTATTTTATCAATGCTCACAGCAGTACAAATATATTGACAACAAATTAGTCGTGATAACAAATATAAACATCAGTAAACGTTAATTAGTTTCTTTAGTTTAGTTTTTTATCCCACTTTTATTAAAATAAATATTAATGTAACATAAGTTTACAAGTTTTAAAAAAAATACGTGATGGATGTTCAAAACATTATAAACTCGATGTTAAAATTGATTTCATCTGGTAAGATTATAAGCTTAATTATATTGTTATATACCTACTTACTTTATTATAAATTATGAAAATGTAACTGTAAACTTCATAATAAAATTCCATATGTGAACGATACAAAACCATAAATTTAATATTATAATACGTAATAGATTAAAAACATTTCCAAAGGATTGTTAAATTCGAAACAAATAGATTCTGTTTAATTTGTTCACAGTATGAATGAAATGTAAATTACAAAATAATGTTTAATGAATTAATTGATATGGTTTTTTCCGTTTTATATTAGGTACTTGCCAATATTATTTTTAATTTAAACCTAATTTTTCGTGTATTCCAAAAATTGAAAATGATTTTTAATTTGTTGGAATCTTTATGTAACTTCTTGATTATCTTTTTTCTGCCTTTTTCACAATAATGCAAATACATTTTAAAATGATTGTGATGACTCGTGTCATAATATTTATATATATGTTTGTATATATTTTTATTGGTCAATCAAAAAGATAGCAAATTTAAACCAAAATGTGTTTTATGACTTAAAGATTCAAATTGTATAATGCACATTTTGTCAGTTAATAATTTCACATACTCTGCTATGAGAGTATTATGAAAAAAAAAAAACGGACAATAAAACATTATTTATTTATTTTCGCAATATGTAATAGTTGCAACATTATCCATCCATCATTTTTCTTATTCTTATATTTATACAATTTGTCACTTACATCTATTAAAACAAGACGTTTTTCTATTTCTGTAATTGATAGTTCAACATTCACTTTTAAACTATAATTTTTACATATAAACACAAAATTCAACAGTTGATGAACAATTTTTACGATAGCCTTCATGTGACTAAGTCATATGTACCTGAGCCATATCAATTAATAATATCCAATTACATCTATGGAAGCATTAGTCGCATAATACGTGGGTCAATAAAACGCCTATGTGACCCAGGTCTTAGTGATACCTTACTTACTATATAAAATAAATAGTTTTTCAAAAACCTTTAAACATTTATATAATCTAAAATTGTATCTGTTGTATTTGAATTATAGATAATAATCAATACATATTTTAGGTGATCTGTTACTAGAAAGTAATTCTGATGAAAACCAGGATCAAAATATTAGGTTGGTATTATATTGTAGTATATTTTTGTATTTACCTTTTCAAGATATTTTAATAATAAATTATAATTTACAGATTTTCCAATATTTTGAAGATCATCGAAGAATTATATCATTTAAAAAATGTTCTATCAAATCTATCTAGTAATGATGATACTGATATTATTTTAAGTGTATCTCAATGTGCGGCTATTACAAAATGTATAGATTTTATAGTATTGTCGGGTTTTATTCCATGCCTTATTCCAAGTATCTGGAATTCATTTGAGAATAAACAAAACAATTTGAGTCAATTCAAGAAAGGTATTTCACCAAATAAGGTACCAGAAATTGAAAAACATTTAAATTACACATTTTATTATTATCCCCAAATGAATAACATTTTTGACCAATAAACATTTTATTATAATATTTTTTTTTCAGAATTATGAAGATTTAAAATTTATCATAAATTCATTTTTTGATCTCATAAAATTACCAATATTAAAAAGAATAATAATTGCCAAACATGCAAATGTTTTACTAGCGGGATTGTGCCAATTATGTCTATTTCCTATTGTAAAACCAGGTACAGAAATTGCCGTACAAAATGCAATTGATGAATTGAAATATGAACAGCTAGTGACCGAACAGCAACAATTTAAAACAATTTTAAAACTACTTATATTGAAGGATAGAGATCCCTTAGTTATCCGGGAACTGATATTTATATTTGGGAATAAGGTAATACAAATAAGATAAATAATAAAAGATCAAAATTGTTTTTGCAAAATTTAAAACATAATCTGTAAAAAAATAAGATTTTGTTATAATTAAGACTAAAAAATAATATTTTATTTTAGAATTTTACCATACATTATCATGTACCTATTATTTCTTTTGAATTTAACAATTTTTCTGAAAATTATGATCTCTAGGTAATAATATTTTTAATATCTTAATGAAAATTAATTTTTATTGTTTTAGAAATGCAATAAACATTTAAAACTTGGTCTTGGTAAATTGTTTTCTGATTTACTACTAGAACCTAATGGGATACAAACATTCTTAAAAGTAGCTTGTGATTTAATAGGAGAAAAATCACAAAACTTTTGCCAACATGGACTTCAAGAATGGTCAAATTTAATTCATAGTTATTATACAAAATCTAAAATCAAGTATATTCAATATATCAAGCCACAGGTAAATTAAAATAAATTCCATATCAATTCCTATAATATTAACTTTATATTTGTGTAAATATAATTTTTTATTGATTTATTTTTAATAAATTATCTTTAGATATGGGAATTATTACAATCAAATACAAAATTATACCGATTTGAATTTAAAAGTATTGCAGTGTTTTGCATTCACTTGATTTCTATAGAAAATTATAATGATTTTTTGACATACTATATTAACCCAGTTAATGATTTGATGAAAAGAAGTAAACTTGTTAAAGAAGAAAATACTTCAGTGTCACAATGTATTGAAGATTTGCATACCTTATTTTATTTATTCAGAAATGAAATGTGGTGTTTAGATCCAAAATTATTAACCCATATCGCTGTGACAATTTATAATATATACATGGCTACTCTTCACAGTTTATATTATTTGAAGTCTAAATTAGAAGATTTAATTTTCTTAATATTAGTTCACTTTTCCAACTGCAAAGATCATTTGAAACTTATTGTGTTTTCCCAATATCAAATTGACATTGAATATGATGGTGAAAATATAAAAATTAAATATATTGAAAGGGAAAACCAATTACACTTGGAGAGTGAAATTAATTTGATTTTAGATTTGATTAATAAACGACAAGATAAAAAATTGATGAAAACATTGTTTCTAACTTTTTTAGACATGTATACATGCATAACATCAAATGAATACACTATTATGGAAAAACTGTTCATTGTCAAAGGTATTCATCACTTGATTGAAAATGATGATGTTCAAAACTCAATATCTACAGAAACAAAAGTAGTTTTAAATTTGGTCAAATCAATTTTAAAAGAAAACAGCAAAGAAAAAATAATTGATATCCAAATTTTCTCTATTGTATTAGTGGTACTGGGATGTGTATTAGAAAATATAGATGAACAATATATTAGTGAATTGGATTGTCTTGTGGATTATTTGCAAAAAATTGGTGAAGTAGTGGAGGACCATACGTTTAAAACAATGGTGTTTGATATGCAAAAAAAAATTAAGCAGGTTCAAAACAATTGTCCTAAAAACAGAATTGAAAATCAACGAACAATTGATGATGTATTAATAGATGCTAGAGATCCATTATTACCTTGTAGATCACATGCATTAATTGAGTTAAAAAAGATGATCAATTCTGGAAATAAAACAGTTCTAACTAAGAAATCAGAAATTTTAATAATAATTCAAGTAAATATTATCCTTAAAAAGTTATTTTTATAAAGGCATAAGTTTTATTTTGTATAATATGTTTTGCTTTAAGGAAAATTTAAAAAACTCAGATTCATATTTATATATGAGTGCAATATTTACTTTATCGTCATTCTGTTCATTTTATCCCAATGATATACTAGCAATTCTCTGTGAACAATATAGTATGCCCAAAAATTACAACCATTCTCCTGAAACTCGGTTGAAAATTGGTGAAGTCTTAATGAAAACTGTAAAATTGCTAAGTATGTATGAATTATAAAACATAAATCAAACATTTAATAATATTAATCAATAATGATTTATTTTTCAGATGAGATTACGCCTTCATATAAAAACCTGTTGCTGAATACTTTTATGGCTGGTGTTAGGGATGATGACCATTTAGTTAGAGCATCTAGTTTGTCGAATCTAGCCGACATATGCCGCCTTTTACGTTACAGTCTAGGATCAATTGTTGCTGAAATTGTCAATTGTGCTGATAATGTATTGAGATATGATCCAGCAATTGAACCTCGGAGAGCAGCAGTTTTATTGTTACAAATGATTATAGAAGGAGGAAATTCAGAATTACTTGAAGTAAGAAAATATAAATTACAAGTACATTATATAGAAATGGTATTAAATAATAACAATACATTGTTCCTTCAGATCCCAAGTTTTGATAAAAATTGTTTGATATTTACAGATTTTAACTGGCAGTATAAAAGATATTTATCAAATCCTTAAATTTCAATATCAGTCTGATAGAGATGCAACTATCAAATTACATGCTCAAGTTGCAATAGAAAAATTGAATGATATAATGAAATCATTAGTTTTAAATGAAAAAAACTCTATGCAAACTTATTTAAAATAAATAGATTAAAATTTTGTTAATTTTAAGACTATGAGTGGGCCCTTTCTCCAACTAAAAAAGTGCTAGTTTAGGGGAAACCTAAACCTAAAATAATCCAGAAGTGACCTATAATCTAATCAGTATCCACCTATCAATATTTCCCAATATATCACAATAATTTCATCTATATTTATTAAATAGTTATTAATATTTAATTATTTTCATATTGAGTACCCACCCACTACTATAACTTAATTAAAATCAAGATTAAATTACTGCTCAAAGACTGTGTTTATTTTGCCACTTTTTAAGACAGACAATGTTTCACTAATAGAGAGATTAAAAAAGCTGTTTTTAATTTGATGAGAAAGATGACCTTAAAGTAGAAGATAGAAAAGTTTATCCCTAGGTGTCAAACTTAATATTGATACCTAATAATAATAATAATAATATCTATGTGCCAAATTTCTTTTTAAGAAAATTAACATCTTATATGATTTGTTGAAGGTTATTCTATGATTAATTTTAAAACCAAGATCAATTTGAAAATAAATTCCTAAATCTTTAATTGATTTAGCTCTCAATAAGAAAAAATTATTGGTTATATATTGTTTTAAAATAGGATCTGTTTTATGTATAAAAGAAATTACATTTATCAATTTAATGGTAAATCATTTTTTTCATTTCATACAATAAATTTATTTAACATCAATTGTAAATTAGTTTGATAAATTTCAGTTTTGATCTTGCAGAAAATTTTAGCATCATCAGCAAATAATAAAATGTGTGCAATGCTAGATCATCAATAAAAATCAGAAACAGTAAAGGACTTAAATGGGTATCTTGGAGAACGATTTTGAAATGAATGGAATGAGATTTTAACAGCTTGAGTTCTACTAGTGAGGTATGAGTATAACCATTTAAGAAAATATTCATCTATACCAAACAATTTTAATTTATAATATAGTAAAGCCTTTTAAAAGTCAGTATAAATTGTGTTAACTTGAAACCATTATCTAAACTCTAAAGCATTAGTAAGATAATTTTGATGAACTAATAAATTGGTAAAAACTAATGGTATAACATTTCATTTGTAACAACTGATATTATTTAGACTACTAATTAGTTTCAAATTGAATACAAATTTTTAATAATTCACTAACATTACTCCAAATGTAAATAACCAAGATATAACACGGGGCTTAACAACTATTCCAAAATAGTTTTATCAGAATTCATCATTAAACCTCGCATTTTGTTACCTTCATATTGATAATCTGTTGTATATTTTGCAAAATGTATAAATTATAAAATCAAGAAAATAATTGTTGTTGTAACTTGTATTTTTGTCTGGGTTATTTTGCCTTAATTTGGGAAGTATCATAAATTTTAATGCACATTGTGAATGTAATTATCTGAATTATTTTCAACCATTCTGTGTATCGAAATCAAAATAATTGGCACTTTCGAATTTAAATTAAAAACCATACCAAGTACTTAATACTTAGGTATAATTTAGGTAGGTAGGCATCCTGAGCAATATGCTAATATTAGTAACATCTTCAAAAAGGACAGACATAATTCACATGTGGGTGCAGCCACTGTTGTAGGTGGGAAGTTGGGAAGGTAGGCTACCTAAGGTTATTTTAAATTTAATGTATGTCTATAAGCAACAATAGACATTGTTAATGAAAAACGATCCTGAGCCAAGTTCAGTTGATAATAATGCTTTGTCAACAATATAATATATGGTATTATGTCATATTATGGTAAAATGTTTAAAACAATGTGTGTTTTCAACACAAAAATGATTGTTTAACAAAGTTTGAAACAAAAAAAACTTGATAACAACAAAAAATAAATAGAAATGGTTGCCAATGATAACATTATTTTTAATGTTACAATCTTTTTTTAACCTAAAGACCAAGGTTTTCCTCATTATCTTTAATATTATTGGGAATTCCAATAAAATGTCTATTATTATTATTATGGTAGAAAACATGTTCACATAAAAAAAAAGTAGACATTATTGTAAAACCAATACATTCTTCGTTCCACTCAGAATCTAAAATTATCATTTAAAATAAATAAAAAATAACTAGAATATAAATTGTATTCACCATGTATTATTGCTACATAATTAATGTTCTCATGTAATCTTGTATGAAAGTACTTGAAGGCATACATTTTCAAATAAACTAAAGTATTATTATGAGGTACTTAGGTACTTCTCAAAATACATTTCCAACATTGAACTAAAAGCTTTTATTTTAACTCAGTGGTTCCCAAGTTTATATACAATGTTGCCTATTAAATTCCTGAAATTGTACTGTTAATAGTTTAATAAGTTTCCTACCTAAACTTAATGCATTTTTTAAACTAATTTTCTAAATTCTATTGCTAATGTTCAAACAAAAATCTATATATATATATATATACAAAATATGGCTAATGTTTAATTCTGAATTTTCATAATTTTGATTGATTAACTGTACAATTATAATATTTTCCTTTCATTCATTTTGATTATTATTTTATTTCTTAAAGGGATTATACCTTTATAATTATTTAGGTAGGTGTCAGACATGGCTACATACCTACCTACCTATAATAAATTATAAGTAAGAATTGAAATGTATTTATTTATTTATAAGGTCAATTGTATAATATTATTGCTGGGCAAGTATCTATCTATTGGTCCTAGCCAAACCGAGATCATATTTGTAAATTTTTTATTAAGAATGAAGGTCATTAATCTAAATAGTTTTACTTATTTTATGTGTTTCACATACCTATTATAGAATATAATGATGAATAAAGTTGTAAAAGCATATATACATTTGAGTTATTTATTTTTAATAAGTTAAGTACTGTTGAAAAAATTATAAATGGTATCAACCATATTAATGAGATTGTTTAAGATGCAACATCATATTTAAGTGTTGAATTTTGTTCCTAAAATTATTTATCAGTGTATAAATATTTTTTACAAAAACACATTTGATTATTCTTTTTTTATTGTAAACCCCTATAATTAGGTCAATTTTTATCATCCAAAAGCTTTTCTTTTCTCAAAACACTTCCATCGTATGATAGGTTCAAATTTTGGTATTCCAGTAAAAATCACAAAATCCTTAATTTCCAATTATTTTAAATTCTGTCATTTTTAGACTTATGACAATCATGATTTATTCGAATTAGCTTATTAGCTAAATAATCCATCTATTACATTAATTAGCTATTAAATTATGATTAAGTATGCAATAAATTAGGTATAGCCGTATAGGTAGGTACTGTATTTTTTGAATTTATTTAATTCTAATTTAAATAATTCTTATTCAACCTATAATATTTTTGTATCATTAATACAAATATAATGATTCCTTACATATTATTTTATTTTAGTTGTCACTTTGTCAGAACATTTAAAATTATTTTGAATTTTATTCATAGGTCATATAAACATAGTATTTGAATTGATACATTCACTAACCACATTAGTAGGTACACATTAAGATATTATTGGTAATAAACAAATGTATAGTAAATTAACTTAATAATAGTTGTATAATGTATTAGTTAGTAACTTTTCATAAAACATAAAACCTTTATTGTTTCATAATTTCACATAGAACCTTTCAATTTTCTCAAGTTTTCTCATCAAATGCGAAAATTATATGTGAAAAACTAAAAAATAACGGAAAAATGTACGAAATATATTTAATAATATTACAATTTTTTTTTCTGTGGACAACTTTTCTACCAACAATTTTGCTCCAATTTATAATGATAGCGATGTTTCTATAAGGAATTCCGACTGAGAAGGTACTTAAGACAGATAATTTTTCCATTTTCTCAAGACTTTTTCCAGCAAATGTGAAAAACCGGGAAAAAACGTAGGTATATCAATACAACATTAAACAAATAATGTTAAAGAAAATATATAAAGCCTTTTTAATTATTTTACTATAATATTTAGAGTGCATTGTGACATTACCGTTTTCGTGTTTTTAATTTTTGCAAATTGTTTTCTTCCAGAAATATTGCTCCAATCAAAAAATTACAAAAGATTGATTTTGTTTCTTTTATCAACATACTGTCACTATAGAAGAGTCATTTTTTTAAATATCCAAAGTAGTTTTTATGATAACTAGAAAAACCAAAAATGTATTAATATTTATGATGGCAACTTGGGGTCTCTGTTTATTTTTCTTTTTGCAACCTATGTGTTTTACCAGAAATATTGATGGCAATTTGGTACCCATCAAGTTGATACTGACACATTATGCTAGTATAATTTGTAGTATCAATATTTTACTATGAATTTGATAGATCTTGCTAGAGAATTTTTGGATTTGCTGGAACCCCAATTGCCTCCAGGGGAGGTTTTAAATTATTTTGATAGATTGTGAAGTAAGTGTAGGTATATACCGTTATTATTAATATATTATTTGAAAACAATGTATGAATAAGCATTAGAGACAAAATGACAAAAATATTATAAAACTATAAACTTCAAATAAAATAAAAAATATAAATATGGTGTTATGCTTTGGCTATAGCTAGGCAAATATAAATGAAAAGTTATGAAATCAATGATTAATCGATTGTAAAGCCAATACAATTTAACTTAGTTATAGCCTATAGGTATTGATAATAACAAAATGGTTAAATACTATTATTAAAAGTAATGAGTTTAATGTTTATTATTATTATTTTTTTTTTATAAGAATTTATTTTAATATCAAATTTTGACGAAAATCTTTTTAGTAAAAAAAAAATGTAGAACAAATCTAGTTTCTGATCCATAAAAATTGTTTTGATGTATATTTATTTTACTATTATATAACAAATATATTTTAAAGAAAGAAATATTTCGTTCAGAATCGTTTTTCGTTAGCAGCGATTAATCTTTGCCTTAATTCCTCTCTATATCCTATCTTCCCAATTTCTCATTAACTAAAATGGTCTACCCATTGTGCGAAGTATAACCGTCTCTTTTTATACTGTGAATAACTTTTCTAACAGAATTCTTGCTCTGAAGTACAAAGTATAGCATCAAATGTACAAAATTGAATACATGGTTCATTGTAAAAACTATTATAAAAATTTAATTTTAATTAATATAATAAAGATAAGTTTATCACTATATCTTTATTATTATTATTTGTAATACCTACTGAAAATGTACTGATCATATATTTACTTTCAATAATAGTATTTAATACTTTTGTTATTATCAATACCTATTACCAAGTGAAATTTTATTTGCTTTAAAATCGAAGGGTTCCCTGCAACAACCAGACCGGTCCATATTTTGGAATTTTTCTGGAAAGATAAAATATTTTACCAAAACTTTAAAAATTTATAATTTGATTTGTAAATACATTTTTTAACTTCAAAAATAGCTTGGAAGTATGAAACATATGGACTTACCTGGTTTTTTGCTCATAAAGTTTAAAACGTTTTTCAAAATTTGTATTATTTTTCATGTTATTCTATTACCTAATGGACTTAATTCTCAAACACTGTCGTAAAATGCTTTATTAATAGTTTTCTAAATAATTATATGACTAATTAATCAAATAAATAACTGAAATTTGACCAAAAAATAAGCATTAGTGAGATGTGAAAGTAGTGATGATGTATGATGAGTTAGATTCATCATATTAAAGTTGTCTTATTTATACTATTGTTATTCGTTCAAAAAAAAAAAAAAAAACTAAATAGGTAACACTATGTCAGTTATGAATCAACTATTAACTTACTAAGTACTAATACAAATTAAAAACAATAAATTAACATATTTTATAATAATTTTTATCAATTATCAATTTATAACTAGAAGTAGTAGAAGCAAAGTACCAATATATTTTCACCAATATTATGTAGGAATAATTATTATTATTGATAATGCGGAAATTGGAAAACAATAAATCATGAAGATTAGATATATACTAATAATAAAAATAAGTTTGTCTTTGGTTAAAATAAGATAACTTTTTAATGTTAAAAGACATCTATGACATGTGGTAAATCTAGTTATTTTTCAGTATTTTAGGATTTTTTAGGTCATTTTTATTTAGTAGGGACTTTGTAAGAAAGCACTTTCTTTTTAAATTTAAATTGTTCAATAGACGCTGGATTTAATAACTATAAATCTCCGCAGGGGCGCGCTTACGGGGGAGAAGGGTGTTATATCCCTCCCATGAACTTTTTTGTATGCATTTGTTTGAAGTTCCTTGGTAGTTTCGGTTTTTTCGAAAAAAAAAAGGATAGTGCATAGTTTGTTTTAATTTTTAGGCATGTTGATTATATTATCATACATATAAAATATGATTAGTATATACAAAAATATAAATATAACCAATGAGAAGTTATAAATGTGTATTATATACCTACTGTTTAATAGATCAGTACGCCGGGTTATAAAAAATAGATTTTAATATAAACGAAATTGTGCAGAGTATTTTTTTAAAGGATATACATGAATTACACATTTTTTTTTTTTTTTCATTTAATGTAAACGAGATTTATGAACAATACGAAATCATTTTATTATGCATATTAGCTCCAAAACTTGAAAAATAGCACTAAGAATCTAAAAAAGTAGCAACATAAAATTGCATATTTGGAGTCCCTGGTGCAGTAGTGCATAAAACAAATGTATAGCTCCCTTTGCTATTTTTATCTGCGTCCTATGATAATTAGCAAATGTTTTAAAATTCGAGCCCTACTTATAACCAATTACCATAGACTAAGTTTAATGTTTATTGATACTATCAGAAAATATCAGGAATCACACTATCAGGTACAGCCACACTTTTTATATTATTATCTATGGTTAACAATTTAATATCCATTTAGAATTATTTTAATAATTATTTCTTGCGTCAATTGATATCACGGTTTAATAGTTATTCTATCGTTATTAGTGATTACTGATCACTATTTACTTTTTAATATTTATATTATCATTAATAAATTTAAAAAAAAAAAAACTTTAAAATATATTAGTAAATTATAGTTTTAAATGTTTATAAATATATTTGAATACTTTCGATGTTGAAAGGAGGGGTTTGAAATCCCTAACCCCCCCATTTCTATGTATTCAATATATTTTTAAACGATTCTTCGACGTATGTATGTATATTATATAATATAACTAACCTACTCGAAAAATAAAACAATATTATTACAGTTTATAGGTACACTATTGCCGTATACCTATTTAATAGGTTTTTTTTTTTTAAAAATATTTTAATTTTATAGTAGGTACTTAGTTTATAATAATATTAAATTATTCATTATATTTTATTGTTATAGTCTGCAGTTATATAGGTGCTATAGATACCCATGTGTCCAGCAAGGTTATCCATATTATGTAAAATTCCAATGCCGACGTACGTTATATGATTATAGAGTGAAAAATGAGATTTGTCGGAATGTAACTAATTATTTGGTCGCTTAATTGACATTTGTCCTGAAATTTTTTGTTTTGAATCGAATTATGCACCGCGCGCGCGTTAGCTAGGGCCTTCGAAGTCTGCAGTCTAGATTTTATATATTAATAGACACTATATTATGTATAGGTACCAAAGTGCATATGAATAAATTACTTCGATTGTGTTTTTAATTTCATCATAATATTATACGAGTAAACGAGATATAATTTATAATTAATACGATTTGTTAGAACTGTGTCGGTGAATATATTATTGTATCATCAAGCGTTAAGGTCAACGTCAACTAATAAACTATATATACAAACACACTTACATAGAAAATATATAGTAAAAAAACTAAATTTAATCGAATGATAAGCGAGCGTCTCGAGTGGTTTGGTCATGTTTGGAGAGCCGAGTAGCGTATCTGGAGCTCAATCAAGGAGGGGCAGTTTAAAAATTGTCGCGAGGGCTTTCCTCGTCTCAAAAAAAAAAGCAACAGTTATTAT